GCGCTCAATCACTGAGCCTCAGCCTCAGCCCTAAAAAATCAATATTTTAAAAATGCATTTCTATAGTGTACCCCAATAGAAATTTTTAAGAATGTATAATTAAAACCAGACATTACTTCCATATGTAAAATAGCAAATACTGAAGAATTAATTTCACAAACTTGGTAGAAGACTTGTCCACAGAAAATCAGAAAAGTACTGAAAAAATTAAAGGCAGCCTAAGTAAGGGAAAAGATACTATGATAGAAGGATATAGTATGGTCAAGTTTTCACCTTTTTTTCCCCTCCAAATTGATGCATAAATTTATTACATTCAAAACTCCCAACATGGTGGGGGTTTTTTTGTTTTGTTTTGTTTTTTAGAAAGAGGCATGTCATGGGGCTTGACAGATTGATTTTGAAGTGTATCAAAGCTATAATTGAAAATCAGCTGGGAAAGTATTGGTTTTAAATAAATGATGCTAATTTTCTTTTTCTTTTTTCTTCTTCCTTTTCCCCTTTTATTAGAGTTTAATTAACAAGTAAAATTACATATGGCATGCATGATGTTTTGATATTTGTATATATTATGGAATGATTAAATCAAGCTAATTAATGTATCCATCACTTTACACATTTTGTAGGGTTTTTTGTTATTGTTTGTGATAAGAACATTTAAGGTCTACTTTCCCAACAAATTTCAAGGACAAAATATGTTGTTAATAACTATAATCGACATATAGTACAATAGAGCTCCAGAATACATTTATCCTGAAACTTTCTCCTCTTTGCCCAGTATCTCTCAATTTACCATTCCTTCAGTCCCTAGTAACCACCATTCTACTCTCTGGGAAATGCCCTTTTCAATTAAAGAAAGGGAAGGATTTCTGAAGCTATGCAGAAAAGCACAAACAGTAAAGGAAAACATTATTAAAGTTAACTACATTAAAACTTCAGCTTTCTGGATAGGGATATAGCTCAGTTGGTAGAGTGCTTGCCATGCATGCAGAAGGCCCTGGGTTCAATCCCCAGCACTACAAAACAAACAAAGAAGCCTACAGCTTTCTATTCATCAAGAGATGCCATGGGGGTGAGAAGAGCCATAAAGTGGCAGAGGGTGTTTGCTATACCTATGTGACAAATAATTCATTTCCAAACTACATAAAAACTGTAAGTTCATTGCAAAAAGACAATCTAATTTGCTTTAAATGGGAAAAAGATTTGAATGGGGACTTCACTGGAACACACACACACACACACACAAATAGCAAATAAATATATGAAAATATGCTCAACTTTGTAATGAGGGAAATGTAAATTAAAACTATGGTGGCATATTATTTCAATCCTATCAATTTGATAAATATTTCTAAATGTGAAATAAGAATTAGAGTCATCTGCCTACAATCCCAGAGACTCAGAAGGCTGAGTCAGGAGAATCACAAGTTCAAGGCCAGTCTGGGCAATTTAGTGAGATCCTCAGAAATTTAGCAAGACTCTGTCTCAAAAAAAAAAAAAAAACTCACTAAAAAAAAAAAAAAAAAATATATATATATATATATATATATATATATATATATAGTGTAGCTTAGTGGAAAAGTGCCCCTGGGTTCAATCCCCAGTATTGAGAGAAAGGTTGGTGGGGCGGGGGAGAAGAAGAAGAAGAAGCAGGGGTAGGGGGGAGAAAAGAGAAGACATAGGAAGCCACTGAATTCTTATACATTGTTGGTTGAAGTGTAAGTCATTAACCATAATTTGACATTACCCATCAGGTTGAAAATATATATATGTGCCTTTTGACCCAGCAATTCCACTCTTTAGTATTTGGCCTAGAGAGACTCTTTTACAGATGTACTATGAAACAGTTACAAGGATGTTCATAGTACTACTATTTGTAATAGCAAAACTATTTATCAGCAGTAGAATGGACTAAAAATTAATGGCATATGCACATGATTGAATACTATACAACAGTAAAAGTTGATAAATTCTAGTTATTTGTAAGAACATGGATAGATCTCAGGAACATATTGAGTGGAAAAAGCAAGTCACAGAAAGATCTGTACAGGGGCTGAGGATGTGGCTCAAGTGGTAGCATGCTCACCTGGCATGCATGAGGCACTGGTCTCGATCCTTAGCACCATATAAAAATAAATTAAAGATATTGTGTCCACCTAAAACTAAAAAATAAATATTAAAAAAATAAAGATCTGTATAGCAAAATTCCAATTATTTAAAGTTCAAAAACATGCAAAATTACAAAGTATACATTTTTAGGCATCTACGTGCATGTGGCAAAATAGAAACAAAATAAAGGGAACCATAGGGGCTGGAGAGGGACACATAGGGGATCAAATATTCTGTTTCTCACAGGATAGTGGGTATGTCGTGACCATTATGTTATTATTTATATGCAAACATTTACTTTATAAATATTCTTTTGTTTGTATTCAATATATTGTTGTCATCATCATTAGTGCTGAGCATTGAACCCTGGGCCTCACATACACTAACCATATATTCTACCACTGAACTCATCTAAAACTTCTATAATAGTATTTAATAAAAAATAAAATTTAAAAGCTCTTTGGAGTTGGGGAGGTAAAGTTTATCATAGCATTTTTTTTTTCATGCTAAGAAACAGCAAAGTTTCCATGAGATTTTAATCAAATAAATGAAAGTACTGCTCTCCAACAGAAGAGCACACAGCCATGAAGGATGATGGGTTTCATGTTGATGTACATTTCTCCTATAGTAGGTGAAGAAAGAAATTTACAGAACAATGTGGGTCTCATCTGTGTTGGAACATATAGAGATACACATATATGAGAATATAAAAAGTATTTAGTAAGCATACCAAAAAATTAACAGTGTTGGGTTGTTGTTAGTTCATAGGTGCTTTTTTTCTTCTTGATTTCTTCTACATTTTCTACCAGACATGTGTTACTCTTATGCCAGAAAATAGTCAGAAAAAGAATAGCAAAGAATATCTAAGAAAAATCAGAATGAATATAGCTAAAATAGTTGGAAATGGTCTTCACAAAATATGCTTATTATTTGAAGAAAATGATTAGACTCTTTTTTGAGTTAAAAAATAAGACGTGAAGATAAGTGGATTATATATATGAGGGGGAGAGAATTTAGTAAGTTTCTGGCTAGGAAAAAAAGTAAATGTAATAAAGTTAAATTCTAAATTTTACTTACAGGATTAAAATAATCCCCAAAAAATCCCAATAGAATTTTTTAAATTGATAAAAAGGTTCTCAATTTCATCTGGAAAAATAAATGGGGCTATTGATAGAATTCTGAAAATTAAGAAATTAGAGGTTAGGTTTGCTCTAATAGATATTAAAATGTATGATAAAGTGATAATGATTTACCCCAATCCTGCAAATAGGGAGCTCTTATTAAATATCTAATAGAAAGCACTTAAACTTTTCTTTGTACTTTTAAAAACAGTGTCTGATGAAGTGCTTCTAATAAAGTGATGAATCATTTAATAAATGATTTTGGAGTAATGTCTTAAAAGAGGTAGTTAATTTTTCACCTTAAACCGTATTACAAGATAAATTCCAGATAAAGAAATTTTTAAAAATTATAAATTAGATGAGAACATAGAAAATATGTAATAGATTTAGAATAATATAAATCACTAAGCCTAATGACTTTTCAGGGCCAAAAAATAGTGTGCACTATTGGCCCTCTTGTTCTTCCCTTTGCTTCTTTTCGATTTCATAACACATTTCCCTGATTTTTTTTTCTAACACTTTGGCCTCTGCTTCTCCAGGGCCTTTGCAGGATTATCCCTCCTCTGGAGGCCATTACATGTTTGAGTTCCTCGGGCCTCATTTCCTCTCTACACTGTCTCCCCAGGCATTCTCATTCATACCCATGGTCCCAATTACCACCTATACTCAGGTGACTCACACTTTTTAACTCTATCCCAGCCATTTCTAACTTATTAGAGCTAGTCAGGCTCTATGCAGGAAACAGGTGGCCCACTCAAAATGAGTAATTAAGTAGATCTTAGTTAAGAGATCATTTCCAACATGTTTAGGGAAAGCAACAAAAGATTATGGCATAGTAACTCAGGGAAGAAGGAAACAAAGGAACAATTACTACCTAGGCCTGAAGAACAAGGAGGTGGAAATGATTTCTGGATGGTGGAGGGGCAGTGCTGGGATGATGGGGAAGTGAAGATTGGAAGAAGAACGTGAGAAGGAGGCAAAGGAGGAAGATTTGAAGGAAGAGGGATCTGGGCTACCTTTACATTCTTTCAGTCCTTCCTATTTCCTGTACCTGTTCCCGAGAGAATCTTTATACCTATGATTTCCACTGCCTATAACGTTCTTCTCCAGCTGCATAACTTCTGTTTATCATTCATAGTTTAATCACCACTTTCTCAGGGAAGATTCCCCTCACTTCCTTATTAAGCTTATCCTATTAAAGTTCTCATATATTATGTACCTTCTCTTTGCACAATCTACCCACTAGCAGTTCATATTCATTTGTGTGGCTTTTTAGCTAGTGTCTGACCTACATTCAGTCCCCTACTAGGACACAAAGTCATGAGGACAGAGACTCTCTTTTTTGGTTCACTTTTGTAGACTTAGTGCTTGGCATCTTATAGCAGATGTACACACACACACACACACACACACACACTCAGGTAAACGTATAATAGTAAAAGCAATGGAGTTTTCATAAAGAAAAACACTTATAGATTCAATTAGACTAGAATTATTTTCTCTATATTAAGAATAAAGAGCAAATAACAAGGAATAAACTTGAAGACATAATTATAATGTAAAGACAAATATATGCTCAATTGAGTTCTTACCACGTCAACAATAAAAATAGTGATAATACCCAATAGGAAATGTCAAAAATAAAACAAAAAGTCCCCTACTCTAACTAAAGGAGTTCTGACAACTTTTCATTATGAAAATTGGAACCCCAGATCAAACTGATCTAAACATTAAAGAAAATATTATCTCAAGTAACCAGAACCACAGGCTTACCTCTTTCAACATGACAAGATAACACCCAGCAGCAACTAGGGGCTACAAGCTTTCTTGTTCTCATCCATCAGAAGAGGAGTCTCTTTCCTAACAATGAAACACAAGTACTTCTTCTCAGCCTTAATGATTCAACTTAGAACTAACCTGAATCAAATTGCTAGTCAGAGGAATGTCATGTTCTGATTACCAGCCATTCACTAGCAAAAGAGATGGGATTGCCATGCTTGTTTTATTTAATCAGGGCCCATTCCTAGAGCTGAGGTCCATTCCAGAAAGGAGTTGACTACAATGCCCACTTATCATTGACCATGCGCATAAGAGAGAAATGGTCAATATCAGGAGTGAGGAAGAATCAAGAAAACAAAAAAATCAGTGAGGCATTTTTTGACTCTTATATTTAAAGTTTGCTTTTTGAAAATTATACTACTCACTGAAATTGGGTTGTAAATTGATGCAACTTTTCTGGAGGGCAATTTGGCAATATATTAAAAACATTTGTAATAAATCTTAGAAAATGTGTGTGTGCACAGAAACAAGAAGGATACACAAAGTGTTTATCTGGTTGTTATTGGATAATATATTTATAAGTGATTTTTATTTTCACTGTTTTTCAAATTTTCTTTAATAAGTCTAATTACACTATTTAAAAAGAAAAAAACATGAAGTAACCCATTATTTCAGAACATGGACAACTTACAGTTAATAATCTCTTGTAAGAAATTTTAATAGTGGAAAAAGTAGTTTGGGGAATTCCCTTGTGATCTTATGGTGACAAAAAGAAAATATCTGAATCAAAGATTCTAAGTTATGAAATTCTCTAGCCTGATTGGTCTGGAATTCAGGGGGAAAAGAAAGTATAAAACTCCACAGAAAGCTATGTAGGTACAACAGGAAATTAGCATTTTATTGCAGGGTGTGTGTGTGTGTGTGTGTGTGTGTATGCAGACACTACCACTGAACTACATCCCCAGCCCTGTTACATGTTCTTCTAATTCAACCTCTAATTCACCTCAATAGGCTCTTCCTTGCCTGCCAGTTCTAGAGCATATGAAGTTGAGGCCACATGACCAGACTTATCTTGGTTTAATGTGTCATTCTTGGAGAAAACTGGGTTGAGCATTTTTTAAAAACATGAGCATAAGGAAAATATCTGAACTCATCCTTAAGACTAGTCTGAACACCTAGGATAAAGGAACATGAGTTGCAGAACTGGAATTTCTGATGGACACTGAACCCAATGTGATTCACTGATGAGGTTATTTCTTCAGTTTTAATTTCATAATTTCTCCCACCGATTCTCAGATCACTCCCACAGTTCTTTCTGTCTTAACCATAGACTCTCTTGGTAACCTTGGATCAGTCACTTAACCTCCACCGTGTCCTTTCTGAAAACATTTGTCTGTGTGGATTTTCTTTTGCCCAAATCTCTATTGTTTTGTTGAAATGAAGGATCTGTAAAAGTGTTTCTGGCTCTATGAATTTAGGATAGCACTTCAACCACAGAAGCATTGTATTTTCTGTCTCCATTTAAAGGCTTAGAAACAGAACTTTAACCTGTATGAGATGGGGAATATATGCCAGCAGCAGATTCCACTTATCAGTCTTCCAGCAGTTACAGTAAGCCAGCAGCTCAGCCTGTGCCTAAATTGGCCCTGAATATACAAGCGAGGACAGCAGACAGGCAGGAAGTGGGCTTTGGTTGATTTCCATCTATTAGCAGCAGCTTAACGTGCTCGCAGCTCCCTTTTCCATTGGCCACAGCTGCTGAGAGCAGCAGGCTGAGGGTTGACCTATATCTGTCCAGTGTAGGTCAAACTCTGAATTTGTTTACAGCAAATTTCAGTCTTCCAGAACGCCAAGTTTAACTTACTACCCATCACAAACAATATTTTTATTGTTTGGGGAATTCCCTTGTGATCTTAAGGTGACAAAAAGAAAATATCTGAATCAAAGATTCTAAGTTATGGAATTCTTTTATCAGGAACTGAGAGATTCTCCTCCTGTAAGGAGCTTACATCTGTGGGTTTCCCCACTCTAGATTCTTCTGCTTTCTTGCTGCCTCAACCTCCTCTTACCTTCTTACTATTTTTGTTCCCTATTTCTGAGTCATCCTGTGGCTCAGAGGGGTTCTGATGGTCACATCTGTGCTCCTTCTAGCAATCACAGTAATACTAGCCCTTCTCTGCCTGCCCCAGTTTCACCAAGCTGTGCCCATTTCTTTCCATTGTAGTTGTCACCCCAGATTGGCACAACCTTGTGCCTACATGTGCCCTTCTGGGCCACCATGAGTTTCAGAATATGTCAGTTGCTAATCACAACTGCAGCTGTGGGCAGAATTATAATTAAACACATTCAACATGTGGTCCTAAAGTTAATACACAGTAATATTTTCTTGACAGTTTCTAAAGGGCAAAAAATTTAATAGATTATTAAGACGTTGATTTTTCTAGGCTAGAGAACTGCTTAAACTTTACTTATGCAGCACCATTCAAAGATGGCAGAACTCCATTGCGTTTGTCTTAGATCTCAATCAAAATATGTTTGTTGTTTTGGGTCTCAATCTGTGTATTTTTTTACACAGACATCACACTGGGCAATTTACCCTAGTTGGTGCTGCTTTCACACTAAACATTAATACACTATAGGCTTCTATTTACAGTGCAGACTCTGCTTTCCATTACCTATTCTCATTTCTTCACCAAGTTCTTATTGTAACAGTAAAGAGGCCCAAATGATGGAAAAATTATTCTAGAAACTCAGGTCCCCATGCACACAAGCTACATCACAGTAATTCAAGATGGAAAAGACCTATTAAGTCATCCTACTGATTCTCTGAGGGCATGTGGTGGTTTTTTCCTCTCCAATATACTGATCTACTTTTTAGTCCCTTTTCCAATTGTAAATGGCACAAGCAAAGGAGCTTCCACCTATCCCAGGGGGCTAGCACTGCACAGTCTATAATAGATCTCTCCATTAGGGTATGTGACCCGCTCAGCCGCCTAAATCATCTTTGTTTTGACTTTCATTTCCATCACTCCTCCTGCTGTCCCTTTGGACCACACTAAATAATTTCTCTCAGTCCCTGCTATTTACACCCTTCAAGTACTTGTGGCCGATGAGCCAGTCCCTGTTAGTTAGAGCCCGGTGGTCATGCTGGGAGACTTGTCTCTTTCATCTTCCCTCTGAAGGCAGTCCCTTCAGACTTATAAATCATATTTGTTGCTCTTCAATGAATGCCCATCCGTTTCTCAATGATTTGCCTCATTTCTTTGTCACTCACAGTGCTCAGGAAAATCCCCTTTGTTTGTCTCTGTTGCTGCAAAATAAGAAGATGGTGGTAGCAGAATGTCTGCTTATAGAAAGCAGAGCAGAGCTCTTCAGCTACCAGGCATCTTCCTACCCAGGACAATGTCATCATCTAGTCAGTTATCTTTGACTCTCTTACTCGGGTGTGGATTGCTATGTTAACAGCAGTTAAGAGTGCATATGGGGACAGGAGTGGTCGATCTGTATTTCATCTGGCCAGCCTTTGTTGTGGCATATTTTGTTAACTACCAGTAGTTGTTTAAATCACATTTCTCTGCTCATCTAAATTCCCAGATGGAAAAGCTTCCTTGAATTCCCTTGAGGGAATGCAAACCTCCTACTTTCCACTAACATTCCCTTGTTTATTGGTGCCAAACTGGAAGACATCAGCAACCACAAACACCTTTGCTGCAGGGGAAGTTCTCTTCTGTAAGGGAGAATGTTTCCTTTACCTTGCATAAGCTGAAAAGGTACTGTAAATCAGGAGACTTGGCCCGTGTTTTGTAATGCAATGTTCAACAGTGTTCAGCCTGTTCCCTCAGTACCCCTCTCCAATTAATGGCTACCCTCTTGCTAAGGCACCTTCTAAAGCACTGGATTTAACAAGGTCTGGTCTAATGTGTACAATGTTCATATTTACGCAACAGTAACAATAACAACACAAGCATTATAGGAGACATTACAAACTGTGTTCACCTAGGTATATCACCCTATTTAATACTTACAACCACCCTGCAAGGAGGGAATTTCCTTTACTTACCAGGGAGGTTTAGAGAGGCTTTATTATCCAATTTCACAAATACCAAAAAAATTCTCAAAAGAGTCCCTCTTGTTCTCCCTCTGAAATCACTGGGGAAAAAATCTTTCTGAGTAATATGTAAAAAGGTAGTAACTGCATGCAGGTTCCTAATGTCACTGAAATGCTGGCCAGGGCATTGCTTTCTGAGTTCTTGGTTGGCAAAAATAGAGTAACTAGACATCATCCACAGTTTGATATGGGCCCTAATGTTTATCAATAGCATAATTTAGTTGTTATTTGATGACAGAAAGGGTATATTAAAATTTAAAACATACAGCTTGCTATCTCTTTCTAAACAATAATGCAATATTATTAGACATGGGCTAAAAGTGAGCTTATCTCTTCAAATACTAGTTCAGACCCTGAGGGTATCTGTTTTCCCTGCAAAGCTGATGAGGTTATATATACCCAAGATAAAAAAGGAAAGAGATATATTTCAATAAATGTTAATAACTCGATTTGATGAAACAAAGAGCGGAATATTTTTGACTTTTATGTATGAATAATATAAAAAGTAGAAGTACAATTTTGTACTCAATATGTGTCAAGGGAGGCACAGTATCCTTAAACTGTGCTAACAGCTAAGGAAAAAAGAGGATATTTTATTTACCTTATCACTTATTTTCACAAAGAGCTTACTGATATTTTTAATTTGGCACAAATATGGTTACAGGATGAGAAAGGCCTGAATTAAAGGGGGTTTATGCTTTAAGGGATTGAAGTAACATCCAAATAAAAGACTCTTCAGCTCCAGCATTTTGAACCAAATCCAGATCAAGAAAATTATGCTTTTAAGGGAATTGCTCCCTTCTGTGGCCTGGCTGGAGAAGGCAAATTGCACGTGTATATGCATAGACTGTCCACACAGAAACGTGCAGAAGTCGCCATCTCTGTCAATATAGAGGGCAGAATTATTCATTCTGCAGCAGTTTGTGGGCCCCTGCTGTCTCATGTATGGCTAAATCTAAATCTGACTTTGTGACTGCACTGGGTGATGCCTGTAACTCTGCAGGAAGAAATTGTTAAGCAAACCTATTCTTGAAAATATATCCTTAGGGGTTGGGGTTGTGGCTCAGAGGTAGAGCGCTTGCCTAGCATGTGTGAGGCACTGGGTTTGATTCTTAGCACCACGTATAAATAAATGAATAAAGGTACATCAGCATCTAAAAAAATTAAAAGAAAATATATCCTTAAAGATGCCAACTATAATTTATAGTATTCATTGTATAATTGTCAAAAAGGAAAACCCTTATTACCTTTGTAATTACTGCAAATGCAAGACACGTTGATTATGGTAAAGTTATGAGGTTCTAGATCTTTTAAAAGTATAAGAGTCAGCACAGTGGTGCATACCTGTAATCCCAAAGACTTGGGAGGCTATGGCAGGAAGATCACAAGTTCAAGGCCAGCCTCAGCAATTTAGCAAGGCTCTAAGCAACTTAGCAAGACCCTGTATTAAGATAAAAAGTAAAAAGGACTGGGACTAGGATTGTAGTTCAATTGTTAAGCACCCCTGGGTTCGATCTCCAGTTCCAAAAAAAAAGTATACAATTTCAATTTATACAGTCAAATCTTGGGTAAATACTCAGAAAACATATTGTACCTACTATTCTGAACATTATTAGGGAAAACCAATCTTTTCCACAGGTGACAAAGTATCAGTGATGTCCAGCACAATGCCAAGGGACTGAGACTGAGTAGACTTTAGGAGCATAGGGAGTGAAGCAGGAGAGATCTAGAAAAGATAACCAATGTTGTCATTCTGCTCATTGTCTTTCCAACCAGTCTTGTCCTGAGAATGCTTGCCATCTTTGCTCCCAAGACCAGCATTCTTTAGCATTTCCCAGATTACTCTTAACTCGGAAATACCAAAACATCGATGAGATCCTCATAACTCTAGATGGAGTTTTGATTTTTAAACTGTGTTTTATTTTTAAACTGTATCATTTGATGAAATACTTCATTAAATCTAAGACACCATTATTGGTTGCATTATTATTTTAAGTGGTATTAAGAGAAAGATACTGTTAATTAAATTTAGTATGCCTTTCACTTAAAATTTTATTCACATTTCAGAGATGTTAAATAGTGAACAAGTGTCTTACAATAAGTGAACTATGGCATTTACTTCACACCTACACATTGCATCAAAAATATTCAGTCATGTACCATGAATAGATTTTTAGTGTTACTACTTATACTGGATTATGTATAGAGAAGTTCAAATTAAAACGGACATCTTTGACATTTAATTAATGTATTTATTTTTAGATGGGAGAAAAAAGGAAAAATGCTCACATTTTAGTATTTATGTTTTTGAAAAGAATGTTCCTTTTCCAGACCTTACATGTACTCCCAGAGTGAGACAGAAGCCATCCATGTCATCTTAAATGTCTTTACCTTCTTGTAATTTGTCCTCGGAGACAACAGATTTCTCAGACCACCCTCTTACCTCAAGAAGCATGACTGGGTTCTTTCCTTTAATCTTCAAGCTTCCAGTTAGTCACTTCATTTAGTTTTTAAAAATTCATCAGGCTTGGGAAATGAAAGATTCATTCTAATTTATGAGTATTACATCTTTTGCTGGGCCAGTTTAATCACCAGATTTTACAGATGAAGCGAAACTTGGGTCAGTCACCTGATTAGGACCTCATTGTTCAGGGTCTTTCCCTGTCTAGGAAAGTCTATCCAACACAAAGTCCAGTCCTCCTGAAGCCTGCTTTGATCTTATAGGTCCAAATGTGCTCTTTCAGTTACCTGAGAAATCTGTTTCCTGATACATCTTCTGAAATGGAAATCCATTCTGTTTTTAACTATTCTGCCTCATATTGACAGATGCCTCTTGGTTTCCAAATCTAGATTCACACAGTTTCCCCTGGCGAAGAGAAAGAGACAACCCCTATTTATCCACAAGAGTAATCTGCTATCTGGAATACAAACATAGAACCACTGTGTGGTCAAATACAAATTAGCTCTAAGTGATACCGAGTAATGGAACAATTTCCCATAGACTCATCCTTTCCCCTTTGAATTTTACATCTTGTTTTCTTGCTTTAAAATCGATTAAAGTACATGTTTTAAACAGAAAAGAACATAAATGTAAATGTTTAAAATGTGTAATTTTGATGAAGTTTTAAAAATCATGCTAAGCATATGCAAGGAAATACAGGAACCTGCGATCTTTGTTGAAATCAGTTTACCCAGCTATATACTGAATTGTTTCAACATATTGAGCTACCTCCAGCTCCTCTCTCACCTCCTCCCTCACCAGCCGCCCCCCCCCCCCCCCAAATTATCTTATCTCCTGGGACCCAAAATAAACCTGTTAACTAGAAAACAAAGTAGATTAGGCTGGACAAGATTTGGCATTCATCACCCAGGACAAACTTTCTCCTGAAAAGGCAGAACCCTGAAAAGCCATAATGAAGGTGGACCCCAGTAGGTATTGATTGGTAATGGTCCTGGAAGGGACCCAGATAAGGGCTTTTAAGATGGTCAGAGGATAAGATTGAAAAGACCAGGGTTTCTATGTGAGGTATAGGCCCTAACTGCATTTTTGAACTGGCTGCATTTGGCAGGAGACTTCCTTATTCTTCAACTAATAAAATCATTTGCCATCAAGTCATCTGGATTTTTTGCTCCCCTAAATAAATACTTGCATTCTCAATTCAAGTAGGAGACAAACAAGTCTAAGTTTAAATGTTTAAAATCCTACTCATTATTTCTGAACATCTTTCTTATCAGATATAATTGTACCATCTTTTACTAGGTAACTGAGGTTTTTATTCTTGATTGTGAAAGGTGATATTGGACCCAAGATCCTTTAAATCATTGGGTTAATGTGTCCTCATCTAGAAATATGACCCCTTTAAAAATCAAAGACATTTAAACATTCCAATTCTACTAAATGGAAATGAGTACAATGCATTGAAACAAGTGTGTGTGTCTCCAAGTGACTGATTTTATTTTCATAGTAGAATTTTAGATGTGATTTTTGTTTATGTAATGGTGAAGGGCATATCTAAATTCAAAGCTGTTTCTAATTACAAATAAAAATTCAAATAACAGTGTAATTATAAAGTCCTAGTACTTTTTAAATATTTTTTTTTGTTGTAGATGGACACAATATGTTTATTTTATTTATTTATTTTTATGTGATGCTGCAGATCAAACCCAGTGCTTCACACATGCAAGGCAAGTGCTCTACCACTGAGCCACAATCCCAGCCCCAAAGTCCTAGTATTTTCTGTATATTTCAATCATTTTTGGTTTTATAAACATAGTGATTAAAGAAGAATTGAATGATATTATGGCTTAATTTCCTGTTTTCATTATTCATTAAAACCTTGATATGTACAGGAATTAAATGAACAATATAATTACGATGTGTCAAAGATTTCTTTGGACATCATCTATATTAATTGTAAGACTATTTTAAAATGAAATATGTATGCCAGGTGACTGATAGGAAGTTTTTAGATCAATAACCACCTTTGTAGAATTCTGTTTAGCTTATTGGTAAGAGCATAACTACCAAAGTGGCTAACATTTATTTAGTGGTTACTATGTTTCTGGAACTATGCTAGGAGCTTTATAAGGCTTCTTTTACTTAAAATTTCTTAAGAACCCAGGAGCTAGGAATGATTATTATCTCCATTTTTCACACATGGTACTGTGTGCTTAGCCATGTGTTTTCTGGGTGCCCTTTGAATAGAGGATTTTAGGTAGGGGCCAAAAGAACTCTAATAGCTACAGATGATGACTTTTGGATAATAAGAAATTACATGAAAAGCCAATTTTATTTTCAGTTGTGCAGAATGACAGTTCCCTACCAACAATGGGCTCTATGCCATTTAATAAATTTTTCTATACATAACTGCATTCATAACACAGTGTTATTCTATTTCTAAATATTCTAATTACAGAAAATTGGTGTGTGTGTGTGTGTGTGTGCGCGTGCGTTTGTGTATACATGTGGTGTGTAAACCATTCTTTCTAGTAATATATAGGACATGTTCATTTTTCAAAAATAAAGAGAAGCCTAGAGATGAAAATGAAAGTCACCAATTGTCTAAGTGCCCACAGGCACTGTTAATAATTTTGTATATATTCTCTCAGCTGTTTCTATACACGCATATGTAAATGTATATTTATGTTAAGTTAAAAACTGTGTATAATTTGGTTTTTCTTTTCTTATTCATTTGATAATATATCATAAACATTGTCATGTCACTTAAATTTCTACCACATAATTCTAGCAGTAGCATACAATTTCATGACTTGGTTTCTAACTTATTGGACTAATTCTTTGTTGTTGGATATATAAGTAGGTGGCGAAAACTTGAGGTATAAATACCTAAAATGTTATTTATGCTGTAGGCCTCAGATCTTTAATGATTGAAAAAAAAATAGTGTGTGCCCAGTAAAAGCCTTGGACTAAATCTGTATTGATCTGAATTTTAATCTAAAATTACAAGGCTAAAGGCAACCTCAGAGGAATTTAGCCCGTTTTTCTATTTCTAGACTGGACCATGTCACTATCCTAGATATATGTCTCTAGAAACTATTCTTGAATTTAATGAGAAGATTCCACAGCCTCGTTCAATGTAGTATTGTGGTGACTTGGTGTGGTAGCACAGGCTTTGGAGGGGAACAGACCTTATTACCAAATACCAGCTAAAGAACTTTGACCTTTGACTTTGGCCTTCAATTTACTGCTTGCTCTCAGTTCAGATCTGTTTTGCAGGGTTTCTGTGAGGATTCCATGAGTGTGTGGTATAGTACAGGTGCTAACATATGCTACTTCCTTGTACTCATCCTGTCCCTCTTAAATCCTTAACACTTCTTGCATTGTTTTTATGATAAAATATTCACAAACACCCAAATCTATGGCATGAAATAAACCTGAAGGCCCTCTTTGAACTTCTCCTCCAAGTGAAAACTAATCTAGTTGATTTTTTCTAAAGTCTATTTTAATAATAATTTTTTTTAACTGGGGAAAGATTCCAGGGCCACTTAACCACTGAGCCACATCCCTAGCCCCTTTTTTAAAAAGGTCTTGCTGAGTTACTTAGGGTCTTGCTAAGTTGCTGAGGCTGGCTTTGAACTCATGATTCTCCTGCTTCGGTCTCCCAAGCCTCTGGGATTACAGGTATGCACCACCGTGCCCAGCTTATTTTCATAATTCTTTAAAGTTGTAGGGCCCTAAATTAGAGAAAATATATTACAATTGATCAAGTTGGTGACACAGATGGTGGGAAATTACACTGTGCCTTACATATTGTTATGTTCAGGGCACTGTGGGAAGTACTTGATGAATTCATGTAAAGAAGTTAAGGTGTTGTTTCTGAGCCCAGTGTGCATGCCTGTAATCCCAGTCTCTAAATAAAATACAAAAAGGGCTGGGGATGTGGCTTAGTGATTGAGTGCCCCTGAGTTCAATCCCCAGTACCAAAAAAAAAAAAAAAAAAGTTAAGGTGTTGTTAATTTAAGTCCTACATATAGGCCTCTGTGGCAGAGATTGTTGCTTTTCTCTGCTGTGCTGCTTCTTGATGCTGATTCTTCAACTTGCTTAGAAGCAGTTTTTTTATTGTTTCAAGTTGGTTTCATGAATTTGGTTTAGTTTTTCAAGGTTAAACGATTTGAGTTCAATTCTATGGTCTTTTCTACATACATTTGTCTGATTTTTAAGTTACTGATTAAATTTAGAGGCAAATGAGTTTACATGCACTTCCTCATATCAATGGGAACCCTTCCACTCTTCCATAGTTTAGGATAGCAGTGAGATGGAAATAAAAGCTACCTCTTTAGAAAGCAGTTTTCTTTTAATGTAAGTCCAGTAGCACTGAAAATTTCTTTAGACTTATATGTCATTTTTGTGGATTATGAGTTTGTGAGCTTTGGCTCTGACAGCTGTAATTAGTAATGTTTGAAAGACATCTGTGAGGGTGACGTACAGGAAAGATAAGCCAAAAGCAAGATATGTAATTACCACACCCTGCCTTCCTATCAGGAACTCAGGATGTTTAAAGTAAATTAGGACCTTTAGTAGGGCCCTTCTCCTATCAGAGTGCATCATCAGGTTGCCCTGAATTGTAGGTAATCAATCTCACTGCCAGTAAGTATCCTCTTTTACATACATTATTAGCTCACAGGGCCATCGAAGGCCAAGGTGGAAAAGATCCATGCCTCTGTTACAGAGTGAACATATCCCTGAGTCTTGCTACAGTGGCAATTTTTATAGTGAAGGAAAAACACTGGGCTAGAAATCAGAAGACCTGGTCTCCACTTCTCGGTCTCTAGTGCTGTGATTCCAGCCAAGGGTGTGGTCCTCTGTTTCCCCATCTGTAAAATGGAGGTAGTTTACATGGTCTAACTACTTTATAGAATTATTGTAATACAAAAAAGGTCATAGGTGTGAAAGTATGTTAAAAGTGTCATGAGATTTCCATAAAACTCAGGACATAGAAGGTAAAAAAAAATATTGTGTGGAGTCAAGCCATTTCCTTGGAATTTTAAGTAGTTTGTTTTTATCTGTGGCTAAGTACTGAACATACATGTTTTTATGGAAGCATTGGATACATAGCTGCACCATGAATAACTATGACTGACTGGGAAATGTTGAAAGAAAGGACAAGATTTCTTGTCATTTATAATTAACAAATGAACTAATCCTTTCAAGTGCAAAGGTAGCTTAGACCTGGCTCACAGTAACTGCTCTGCTTAACTCTTTAAAGAAAACCCTAAAGAGTTTTCTAAGAACAAATGTGGTAAGATTGACTATTGAATAAGGAAAATGGGCAGCTCAAGCTGCTTTCCTCAATAACACCTTTAAGGACCTTGTTTGTTTTTGTGTTATTAAGTGACACTTGCATAAATACTTTGTTGAGTAATGGTGCAGTGGCAAAACTAAAATTTATTTAGGACAGTGTTCCACCCAAGGTGAGCAATTAAAGTAGGTATGTAAACTCAGTCCCTTTAGCTAATCCACTCAACCCCATATGTAAGTTAGCAGGAACAGAAATGAGAAAGAGTGTGGGCCATATGGTATGGTGGGGGAGAGAAGAAATAGGAGGGCAGAAGAAGGCTCCACAAAAGAATGAAAAAAGTCTGAATGATGGTAAGTAATCTATAACACATGAAAATTGATTCTAACTACTGATATTGGTATATCTAGTTAATGCAAATTAAGGTAGCATAAGACTTGTTTTTAAAAACAGGACTTTTCCCATACAGAATAACAACCACCACCTTATTTTAAATGTAGCCAGGAAGGGCTGTGTTTTCTCATGTGATCGGGTTTCCTCACTTTCCACACCTGGGGAAGTATCAGCTAATATTGATTTAGCACTAATTTATACCTGCTGGTCAGGGCCAACTAGAATGGAGGAAAACTGGTACAAATTAGTGGGACTCTGTGGTCCCAAAAAGTGACAGGGCTGCCAACTGTCACTTGTACAAATCGCCATTTCTGGAGGAGGATAGAAAAATATTTTTCACAGGCCTGATCTCTTCAGCAGCTCTACTGCCAGTGTGCTGAAGATTTTGTTTAAGAATGTTAGGAATGGATAAGATCAAGTTACATTCTTTGATTTTGTTATGTTTAGTTTATTAATCTGGGAGCTGAGCAAACTAGAAACAGAACAGGCTTTAAAATATGTGAGTCATTATTATATTGTAATAACTGTTAGCCATCAGGTCCATTTATCTTTTCCTCAATGAAATTCTCTACAATAAAGAAATATCTATACGCTAGTCTTATATTTTAAATATCACTGTAGCTTATTTGAAACCATAGAGTAGATACCAATATGTAAAATGATAGACCTCTTATTCAGGTCAAATTTTGGAAGATGTTTTTCTTTTGGTAATTTCCATGAATTGATGTCATGCATCAATGTTTCTTTGGGTTTGGCTGAAAATGGAGATAATATTTTGGGCTTGTAAAAATTAATAGTTGGTGAGCTTATATTTATTTCTAATCCACTGTTTCCCAAATTTGCCTGACCATAATGATCACCTGGGGAACTTGTTAAAAATTATATAACCCTATCCCTCCTATCACCTGACCTACTTAAATTAGACTTTCCAGGGAAAGGTGCCGAAATCTGTATTTTAAGCAAGGTTACACCTCATGATTAGTATTTGGAAAACAGAGTTCTGATTCTTTGTAACATTGTGTCATATTCCTCATAATGCCAGAGCTTTTCAAACATATCTCTGATTCCCTTGTCCTCAGTGATTGCTGCCTAATTTCTGCTCCATCACACCTAAGAAATATGGTACACTTACAGCAACCACTGGAACTTTCTGCAGACCCAAGTTTCTGCTCTTGTGATGATAGAAAGCAGCTAGTCACGGGTAGAAGGGTGAGAGGTGGAGGTAGCTTTGGAGAAGTCTTTCAAGAGATTCTGATCCTGCCTTTGATAACTAGTTTGTAGATGACTTTGCTGCTTTCCATGGACATGCTCAACCTCTTTTCTGTATCCAAAATTTTGTCTCTACTTTTACTCTCTTATTATCTTTCCTTCCTGAAGTTGAGGGGCAAACACTTCCTTTTTTTTTTTTTTTTTTTTGGTCAACACTGTTCTTTTGATCAAATTCCCTACTGCCTCATGGAAGCCAAATCTATTGAACTTCTGCCCTATTCAAATCTTCATTTTTGAGAGAAGTCTTTCAAGAGAAAATGTGTATGTGTATATCAGTAGGCATTTCCTCCCTATGACAAACTAAACCAATATAAGATTTCTTTGACTCTGCTTAACCCCAGGATCCCATTTCACTTCATGTCTTATTTTTACTGTCACACTTCCCCAAAAAGCGTATTGTACATTGGTGCATCTACTTTCTCACTCTTATCGTTGACCCTGTTGTCTCTACTGCCCCTGGGGCCACATTTTATGGATACTATTGATTTGAAGTCTATGAGTGATGAAACTCAATAACTCATGCTTTAGCTCTCAACCTTCTTGCCTATTCAACAGCATATAATGTTGCTGACCACGTTTTCCTTTTAAAAACTTCATCAATTAGTGATCATTTGATATAAGAGCAGAAATCTACTCAAATGATTGAAACAAGGAGGATTTTAATAAGGCCACAGGAAACTCACAGAAACTAAAAAAGGGTAGTAGAAAGATTGGGACATGGAACTAGGAAGCCATCAGCAAGCAATAAAATTATAAAAAATAATTATCAAGCACCTGCTATATTCTGGGCACTAGGAAGGTATAAGTGATCAAGTAGTGAACAGAAGAGACAAGGTCACTGTCCTTGGAGATTTTACAATCTAGTAGGGAAGGCTTATCATAAGCAAGTAATCAAATGCATATTTAGTCCTTGTAATGAGCACTATGGATGAAACTAACTGACTTAATGTGTTATTATAGGTTATTAGTGATGGGTGGAGAAGGCACTTTAAGAAAAGGCACATTAAGAAAAGACATGACATTTAGGTTGAGACCTGAAAAATATGAGGGAACCACTCAGAACTTGCAGAGTAGGGAAGTATAAGGTGTGCTTTAGGTTGAGGATACACCTGTGTGAGAGCCCTGGTGTGGTGTTTCAGGGGAAGTGAAAGGAGGCCATTGTGGCTGGAACTTAACGGGGGATGGGGAGAGCAGATCAAGCTGAGATGGAGAGGGAGGTAGAAGTCAGAACAGGCCAGGCCTTTTGAGCTATTTTAAGGAATTTGGATTTCATTGCAAATTAATTGGAAGACATTGAACAGTTTTAAGCAGGAAACAACATGGTCTGATATATTGCTAAGTTTACTCTGACTGATAAGTAGAAACTAGATTAAAGAAGGCAAGAGTAGAAGCTGGGAGTCTACTTGGCAGCTATAGCAATCATGTAGGTAAAAGAAATACAACAGTTTGGATTAATGTAATAGCAGAAGAGATGGAGAGGAGTGGACAGATCAGACATTTATTTATAAGGAACAAAGGAGAAGACCAGCTGAGTGGTTGGAGGGAAGGAAGGAGAGTGAGAAATCAACACTATCTCCCAGCTTTGTATGTGTATGTGTGTGTGTGTGTGTATGTGTGTGTGTGTGTGTGTGTTTTATAAAAATAACTGGGTAGACAGTGATACCATTTACAGAAATGGGAGGAATAAAAAAAAAAAAAAACAGGGACAGATTTTTTTGCAAGGTGAGAGAAAGCAGGAATTCAGAAATTAAAAGTTTAATCCCATTTTGGACACACTCCTCAGAGGTATTCATGGGGATTGGACATGCCAAGGAGGCCACTGGATATATGAATATAGAACTTGGAGAAAATGTCTGGGCTATAGAATGAACTTAAGAGTTACCAACTTTTTAAAGCCACAGGAATGGTTGATACTACCAAGTAAGTGGGTTTATAGAGAAGCAAGCAGAGGATAGAACCCCATTTCTAGAGGGGTTCAGAGGAGGAAGAATCATTGAAGGACACTGAGCACCAATGATTAGAGAAGAAGGGGACAGACCAGTGGAGTTCAGTGTCCTAGACTCCAACAGAAGAGATATATTCCAAGAAGCTGAACCTGACCAACTATGTGGAAAACTGCTATAAATCGGGCTAGGATGAGGTCCTAGGAATATATGCTGGGCCTGGCAATAAGAAGCTGTCGATAGTGATTAGTTTTCAGTGGCATGGTGTGGTGTGGAAGCCAGATTTGGAGTAGGTTAAATAGGAAATCAGAAGGAAAGTGTGGATATTTCTCTCTGGAAGTACTTTGGTAAGGGGATCAAAAAATTTGGACTGCAGACGGAAAGTAACGGCATAAGAATCTGTTTTGCTTTTTAAACTTTTCATATGGCTATATATTCATACATTATTGGGAATTTGATGATGAAGAAGAGGTAAGGAATAATTGAAGGGATGACATTCCTGAGAAGGCAAAAGAGGGGAAGGAATTTAGAGTATAAGTAGAGGAGAACTCCTCTCTCAGCTTTTCCTAGGAGAGGAGAACATGTATGTTTTGTACAGAAAGGAAGGAAAGGTAGGTCCTAATGCAGAAAAACTTACTGATATGATGAGTTGAATGCACTGGAGTTGTATCAGTAGGGGTGAGACAGGATGATGGTGGTTTAGGAGGGTTGAAGAAAATGGACAAGATATGAATAGTCTTGATGGTACTCTCAGGCTGTCTTCCTCTTTCTGGTCATCTGGTCTCATTTCTCCTTTGTGCAAATCACTTTGTCATTTTCTCTCAGAAGGCAGATTTCCTCTGCTTCACACTGTGCCCATGACAGAAAGTGGTCACCCCATATATAAATTTCTGTGTTCATCCAGTTCATGCCCTTAATAGAATAACCTTTCATTTCTTAAGCCCAGATACCCAAGGGAGACAAATTGATTGGTCCAGACTTAGTCGTAATGGAACTCAGGTCAAATCATCTGTGGTTAGAGAAACAAGGCCTTTTTGTACAAATATGGCTGTCAGGTGTAAGTTTTCTGTGTGTTGGAGGATTAATTCTTGGGGAAGAAGGATATTAGCTTGCAAGTCAACCAAAGTGTCTCCCAAACTTACTTCCTGAGATATTGAATTCTCTATATCCTGTTAGGAGTAGTCCTCAGCTTTCTTTTCTAGTTTTATTGTTTATAGCTGAACTCATTATATTTTCCCCAAATCTACTCACTCTCTCTTGGCTGCCCTGTTCCTGTTAAAAGCCATGACCTTCTTCTCAGGCATCCAAGCTTGATGTTTTCCTGATCCATAAGACAAGCATCTGAGGAGCACCCTTTATATCACTGCACCTTCTTCATTTCCTCTACCTCTTCCCTAATTCTTGTTACTTGAACTCACATAAACTATTCTCAAAGTCTCTTAAACTATCTTCCATACTTTAGTCTCCAATGAATATTGTAAACTATTCTCAGAAGCATCTTCTGAGAATAACTAAAGCACAGCTCCACTCATGTTTTCCCATCCATTCAAGAATCTACAATAGCTCCCCACTGAATAATCAGTAAAGTACAAGTCTTGCCTAACATCCACAGCCATCCCTGAACTGTTATTGACATTACCCTCCATTAAACATCAGCCAAGGCAGACTCTGCAATCATTTTCTAGCAGGCCCTGAGCATTTCTAACTACATTACTTCTTCATACTCTTCTTCTTGAAGACTGTTCTCAAAAGGGAGTGGAGTTCCCTACTTTTGCTTTCACAGTGCTTTATTTATACCTCTGTAGTGGCAGTCATATGTTTAAGCATGGTTTTAAATTTGACTTGGAGGGATTTGTTTTTACTCTTAAATACATCAGTTTACTAAAATGTGAGAACAGACATGCCCTATGGAGTGTAGAACAATGTCTGACATTTTGAAGACGTTTCACAAGTAACTTGATAAGGGGTTACCTTGGCTTGATACCAGTGGTGTTGCGACTAAGCCCTCATATAGGCTTATCAGATGCATTGATATGGACCTATTCTATAAGATGCTGAGTAGGCACTCTGAACATTGTATGCTACAGAGAGTTGAAAATAATAAAGAGAAACTCTCTAGTCAAGCACTGCTAATGAATTGACCACACCTTAAGAACACTTACCATATTACTCAGGTGGTTAAAAGTAAGATTCAGCCACAGAAGAAGAGATTAATCTATCACACACTTAATTATTTGTAAACTCTCATTAAAAATGCTATGATAATAAAGCATATTTCCTCCACAGGACTACTATAGCTTTAGTATATTGTGACCACTATATTTGGGACTAGAACAAAAGGAATGTCATTTGGTCCCCAAGTCTTACCTATGAATGTACTGTTCTTATGCAACACAGTCTTTCAGCTCAGTGGTGGTACTGATGCTAGTATCGCTATGTATCATTTCAGGGAATTTTTGATGCCACTGTCATCAAAGTTGGCAAGCAGAGTTACTGTGGAGATAAAAGCTGGAAAACCAGTGGTTCCTTTTAGTGCAGCGAGAACTGCATATTTACTTTTTTGATGACCTTACCAGTTAAAAATTGAATGCCTCTTATTTCTATTTTTTCTCCTGAACTTCCTTTAGAAACAAAGAAACGAGGTATGGATCGCTGGGCTTGGAATCTTTGTTAAGCTACTATGCTAGCTTTGGAATAAATAGGCCCAGTAGAGGTTTGTTGAATGTTAAGTGTAACAATCTCTGAAAATTCTACATAGGACTTAATGTTGGTCGTGACACCTTTACTATGTTGTCCTAACTAAAAGAAGATAAAATTGAAAGCACAGTGTGTTTTCCAGAATGCTACTTATAGAAATAACTTTTTCTACAGAATTAAATATCATTTATTTTTCAGTTCCTTTACACAGGCCTCTTGAGAATAGCTGTTTATAACAATGAAATAGAACTAACTACCTAATCAGCAGATGTCACTCCTTAACTGATCTTTCTCAACTGTACTTCCCTGCTGATTTCAGTTGTCATTTCTTTTTCCTGTAAATTTCAACTGCCTTTTCTGCATTACCAATTTCATTTCTAATTTTTAACCTCTGGTTAGTCTCCACGAACAACTAGGACACTATTTTTCACTTTGCTATCTAAGGACCATAATATAACATATTCTTTATTTTGAATGCAAATATCTGTGTGATTTACAATAGCAACATAGAATATTTTTCTACTCTGTATCTGTGCTTTGCAGCAGAGATACACCTGTTCTTACTTTTTTTTCTCCCTCAAATGAAAGGTTCCAGTTTTAGTTCACAAGACCAGCAGAAGATAAAACTTGCCATTCTTTCAACACCATTGAACAAATATTTATGTTATCTAGCTTGTATTAAGCACTGTTATGAAGATTTAGAAGTTATAAAACTAATAAAAAGTCTTGCCTTCATGACTCTTGTTTCTAGACAGAACAAAAAATCATTTTATCCATCCATCTAGTTTGGATGGTAATAGGTGCTCTGGAAAAAAAAAAAGAGTATAAGGGAAGCTTAGGGGGTACTTGCAGTTTTAAGAAGGATCTTCATGAAGGTGATGACATTTGAGTAAAGGCCTTGTGGAAATAAGGCAAGAAACTTTCAGGCAGAGGAAACACATAGTACAAAGGCGCACGTAGGCTGTCACAAGCAGTAAGGAGTTTTACTTAAAGCATCTGTTAGGGACAAAAATACAGTCAAGGCTTTGTTGTTGCTATTAGGAATCCACCCACAAGAGAATTTAATCAGCTTAAGATGAACATCAGTGCAGATCTGTTCAGTGTTCTCTCAGGGCCATGACCTCATTGCTAATATTGACAACCTAGACTACTTTTTTGATTCAGTTTAGCATTTGATGCTGAATTAGTCCATTTTTTCTTGCTATAATAAAATACCAAAGGCAGGCTATTTTATGAAGGAAAGAGGTTTATTTTGATTCATGGTTCTGGTGGTGCAAGTTCTAAGGGTCTCTTTGAGTGATATTGTTCTTGGTGGCAGTCCTTAGGTGACACAGAGCATCACATGGCAAGAGACAGGGAGCATGTGTGTAAGTATGTCTTGTCTTTCTCCTTATCAGCCTACCAGGATTCAATCATGGGGGCTCTAACCTAATGACTTTAATACTAATCAGTTCCCAAATATCTCACCTCTAAACCCCATAGTCAGATTAAGTTTCTGCCCTCTTAATATCTCAGAGTGGGGATAAAACTCAGCATGTATTCTGGGGCAAAAACCATGTTGAAAGTATAGCAGATGCTCAGCTGGAAAACCCAGATGAAATTAAAGGACAAGGTAGGCTTGATTGATTCTTCATTTTGTTCTCTCACCACGTGGAACCGCATATTAATCATATGTAGTCAGTGACTCCAAGTATTAAATTAACCTCAAATATGGTCCATTACCATTTTTGAACTAAAAAATAAGTATAACAGAATTCTACCTGAGATCAGCTAATGGTAGATTCTTGTCCCATAGACAGCCAAGGCATGAAGCTGCTGGGAACAGAGGTATTTCTTGTAGCATTCTGGAAAACACACTGTGCTTTCAATTTTATCTTCTTTTAGTTAGGACAACATAGTAAAGGTGTCACGACCAACATTAAGTCCTATGTAGAATTTTCAGAGATTGTTACACTTAACATTCAACAAACCTCTACTGGGCCTATTTATTCCAAAGCTAGCATAGTAGCTTAACAAAGATTCCAAGCCCAGCGATCCATACCTCGTTTCAGGGGGTTCCATTTCTCTGAGGAGAACATTTTCTTAAAGCTCCTACGTACCCTTGAAGCCCACTAGAATCCTCAATAAGAATAAAGTAGTAAGAGCTCAACAAAAAGACATTTCAAAGCAGGTATAGAGTTTATTTTAGTCCATCTTTGATTTGTTTGAATCCTGAATCCCTTAGGTATGAAGATCACTACTTATTTCATGGAATTAGTAGTTTTAAAGACAAACAAAATATCTTTAGCAAAGAGAAGGTGATTGAATTTCCAAATAAGTCATTACAAATACGACTTACCAGGAACTGAAAATATTAGCATCATACTAATTCTCTCCATGATCACTTTAAGTTTGCTTTTAGATTTAAATTGTTTATGATAGATTTGAACAAACCAGAAAGCCTTAAAATATGGCCAGGTATCTTGTTTTAGATCCAAATCAAGTATTGATCACTGTGACTATGGTGTAGTACCAATTTAGAATTATTGTAATCTAATGTGTTCAGATTGTTCCATACTTAGACTTAGGAGTGGTCAGAGATAACATTTCTAAAATGAAACCATGCTGTAATCAAATCAACTTAGACATTTACCCACATTTTTTAACTTTACATATTTTTTATCTGTCAAATTTTGTTCTTGCTATTCTGAAAATGTTACCAGAAAGAAAAGCAATTTATTGTTCTTTTTACTCACAGAAAGAATTGATTTCTAAATTAAGAATCATCGATGTTTAAATTGAAAACTAATACAATAGATCAATTACATCAAATTTGAACAAGTAGAATCATTTGGAAAACAAAAAAGAAATGTCTTCACTTTTAATTTTTTTAACTAATGGGAACTTATTTATCTCACAGATAATATTTGTGGACTACTACAAATACTCTATTGATCATGAGCTCACAGCTCTAAGCTATGAGGCACTAGAGCAGAGGGCTTACTCAGATTCTTGGGCCAGTCCTTCTGGTTTAGATTCTCAGCTCCTCCTTTACTAGTTTAGTAATCTCAGTGTTAGCTTGTTTGTGCCTCAGCTGGCAACACAGTGGGTATTAATAGTAGATATACCTTGTGGCTTATATGAGGAATGAATGAGTTGACACATATAGGCACATTGTTAATGTTCAATAAATGTTAGCTATGCTTTTAATATGTGACAGAGTGAGGAACTATCACTAGCCTAATGGAATAAAGTGCTAGATACATTTCTTGTATTTTTATTGGATTTCATCAATTTTTAAATAAAAGCTAGTATGCTTTGTGGTATGAGCACACAAGGAAGCAGAGAGGGATGACTTCTCTAAGTGAAACTGACCCCTGCATATAGTGCCTGAAAACAGAGGAAGCTTGTCAGTATGAGCAGACACCAGAAGTAGACCAATCTGACATCCCACTTCTCCTTTTAACCTGGTGGAAATTAATGGATGGTATCAAATGTGGACTCTTACTTGTTCTTGATTACAGATTAAACCTTGTTTTACTGTAGGGGTAAATTCAGGGTTACGTTAGTTTTTTAAAATCTTTGTACTTCCTCAGTTTCATTGCAGAATAAAAAACAAATTTACCACAATGGATTGTTACGTTATGTCGGGTATTTATTCCTCTCAAGAGGCTATCTGCTTCGGGAAAGGCAGTAAGGTGCTCTCCATTAATATATCTGATGGTGTAATGACGTAAAACTTCTTGTTGACCTCTGCCATTCGGAGTTATTGTCTTGGAACATAGAATTTGATTATCTCTTTTCACTGCATAACTACAAATGTTAGGATAGGCTGTAAAAGTAAGTGCCCTTTGTTTAATTCAGGTTCCAGACATTTCTTCTAATCACATGAAGTTTTTTTGATTATAAGGCTACTAAGCCATGAAAGCTCAGATTACTGAAATTAGAGGGGAAGGAATGGATTCTTTTGGTTCTAACTCTAAACATCCCACCGGATGCAGGTGTACGTGCAAAGCAAGTTTGCCTTAAGATTCCTCTGTCTCAAGTTGTACAGATTGCCCAGGAGGGTGGAGCCCTTGCAACCTGCTTACCCGGGCATATGCGTGTCGGTGGGTGTCGGAGCACGCGCAGGGCACACATGGACCTACTTTCCTAGTCTCGCTCTCACCTCAAAGGCTGTCAACTCGAAGGTCCCTCCCCGCGCGCACGCCCCCTCCTCAATCCTCCGCTTCTTCACGCCCCTCCCCCAAAGTGGAGTACATCAAGATCATTGGCTAAAGTTCCTCTCACTCCTATTCCAGAACCAATCACACGAGCTGGGGTGGAGCGCAGAGGAGCCAATGGGAGTGTTCCTTGCGGCAACTGCCGGGTCCCGACCGCCGGGAGGCGGTGCCGGGGGCGGGGTGCGGGTGGAGGATTAGTTGCCATTCCCAGTGAGAAGCGGGTAGAGGCGGCGGCGACGGCGTTTGCGGTGGCGCGGGCTCCGCGGAGCGCAAGGCACCTTGAGGCCCTTTTCCCCTACCCCCGTCCCTAGAAGCAGGAACCGCGGCCCTCCCTGCAGCTGCCGAGTTCTCCCGCGCGTGCAGTCCCCAAGGGCTGAGGAGAAGGCTGCGAGCGGCCCCGGGGCTGCGTGATCCGGGCGGGTGCCCTGTCAGCGCGATGCCCGGGGAGGTGGCGGCGTCTCCGGGCTCCTCGCGGCCCCGGCCGTGACCGCCACGCCGATCCCAGCTAGGCGGTTGGGGCCGTTGGACGTTTGTTTTCGCAGCCTTCCCCTCCCCCCTCGCTGAGGCGGCGGGGGTGCGCGTTGGGAAGGGGGAGCCCAGAGACTCCTCCCCCTCCTCATACCCCCGCCCCTCCCCCTTACACACTCGCACGCACTATCGCGCCGGCTCCCACACGCTCCCGCGCCTCCGTGTCGGCCGGCGTCGTCCAGGGCCCGCGGAGCCACCATGTCCACTGCCTCCTCCTCCTCCTCCTCTAGTTCCTCTCAGACCCCTCATCCCCCGCCGCAGAGGATGCGGCGCAGCGCCGCGGGCTCCCCGCCGGCCGCCGCCGCCGGGAGCGGGAATGGTGCGGGCGGTGGCGTGGGCTGCGCCCCGGCTGCAGGAGCCGGTCGGTTGCTGCAGCCCATCCGCGCCACGGTGCCCTACCAGCTCCTGCGGGGCAGCCAGCACAGTCCCACTCGCCCGCCCGCCGCCGCCGCCTCGCTGGGCAGCCTCCCGGGGCCCGGCGCGGCCCGCGGCCCCAGCCCGCCCAGCCCGACGCCGCCGCCGGCCACAGCCCCTGCCGAGCAGGCGCCGCGGGCCAAGGGCCGCCCGAGACGGTCCCCTGAGAGCCACCGGAGGAGCAGCTCACCTGAGAGACGGAGCCCCGGCTCGCCGGTGTGCAGAGGTAGCGAGCCCAATCCTCCTGTCCTCCCGGGCTGCGTCTCCCCGATGGTGTCCTCCGTGGAAACTTCAGCCTCTCCGGGCTTCTCTTTGCTAGTGCATTATTGAAGGTGTGAAAGTGGCTTTGGGAATCTCACCCCCCTGCGGTCGCTGCGGGGCTTGGAGGAGCGAACTGAAAAGCAACTTTTATTTGACCCTCATGTCGCCCCTCAGATTTTATCTTCCATCACTCGCCTGCGTCGAAAGGTTTTTCAGTTTAAGAGCTGATTAGTTCTCTCTCCCGTGTGTGTGCTGTTTGTAACCGGGTAAGGAAGAGCTGGGCGAAACACTTAAAACACGCACATAAACTCTCCAACTGCGGATAAGGTGGCTGGTAGTTGTAATCTCGGCAGTCTCTTTGTGCTTTCCTATGAAGTTCCTAACGTGACTGTAACTACCAGGATATATGTGAGAGTGTGGGTTTGTGTGTGTAAAATGTGCCTGTAACTATCGAGACACACACACACGCGTATATACATACATATGTGTATATATACATATGGATATGTGTATATATTTATTCCATTTCCGGAGAAGTAGTGGCGTTATAAGGCTGTGTAAAGAAGACAGTTTGGGCTGTGCAATTGTATAGGTTTTTTTTTTTTCTTTGCAATCTCTCTCCTCTACTTTATATAGTCATGCATCAGAGCACAACTGCCCCTTGAAACGGTTTATGCCAAACTCATAGTTTTCACGATAAATTTCTAAAAACCTGTTTGTGGAATGTGTTCACCTTTTCTGTTCATTTTTAAGTACACTTAACAGTTCAGTTGAGCTGTGTAAAGATCTCAAGTTTCTTTTTTGTTAGATGTCAGAGGTAATGATGAGCTAGTGGATGTTGTGGGCTTCCCATAATGTTTTCTGTTTTGGTTTTGTTTTGTTTATGTCTAGGGACGAAGTGCATGATCTAGTTGAGTCCTGGGGGAGAAAAAGATAAGCCAAAACAGGGACTTAAAGCCCATAAGGGAGAGTGAAGTAGCTAATATTATTAGGCACCAGTTAAGGGCTACAGTTGCTGCTGCTGCTGCATTGTGGAGGGAAGGGATCATACTGAGTGGAAAAATCTCTGCTTGGAGGGGAAACACTGTCAAGTTCTGTGCAATGTTTATGTGGTATGTGGAATTTTTAAAATAGAGTTTTCTTGATGAAAGTGTTAGTGTTAGAAAAGCGATTTTGTTATGATAGATCAGTTTTGGTGTTTTTAGTTTTAATATTTCAGACCTGTATAATTTGCATGTTGCCAAGGCACTTGTTTTCAGACCACTTGATGGTGAGCCCCAGTGTAGGATGTAGTGCAATGGGATAAGTACATGAGCTCCAAGGAATACATCCTGTAATCTGTATGCACCAGGAGGAATTTGCTCCCCCACTCCTCCCCCAGGTCAAGCCAGCTGCTGCAGAAACTGACATCCTCCAGCAAATCCTGAATGAATGAATGAAAACAACGTGATCTCCCTAATAATGACCACAAGTGAACACACATCTTTGGCTGTATTTTATAGAAAAGACCACCATTTTCCAACAGATTAATGCCATATGCAACTCCTTTGCACATTTTCTAGATCTGTATTAAATGAGAGGTAGTAGAAAGAAAGAAAAGAAGGCAGTTAAATACATTTTTCGTGATTTAGCTTTAACAATGCATAAATTGAGTTTTGGGATTTTCTTTTAGGGACTAATGTAAAAAGCATAAAATAATGTTACAGATTGTGTACAGAGGATTTTGGGGCCAGAGTAAGAGAAGTTTTGGCAATTCCTGCAACATTCTAATGGCCATCTAGTATCTCCTTTCCTTTTGTTGATAAACAGTAACATATTACAACAGATAATAGTACAACTTGTTTTTCTGCATCCTTCAAAAGCCCTAATGGTTTAGGAAATTACATGCCCCATCATCAAGAAGTTTTAATGAAACTTGTGATCAAGCTTAAACTCTCCCCTTTGTTGTAGCATGGTACATCCAAGTTTAATGCAATTTTAATGCAATCATGATGAAAACACTTTTCTGAGTCTGGTTGGGCACTAGACAGATTTGCAGTGTCAAAGCTTGTGCTGGGAATTGAAAGGCTTTCTCTGCTAGAGATGTTTTTCTGCTGTTCTTAACACCAGGTGGTTTTGTCAGCTTCTTCCATTGAAGTGATTTTGAATGCAGGCTCCTGTGTCCCTAGTTCCTTGATTATATTACCTCTATGTTACTTCTCCACATCCTGCCTTGTTTCTACCTATATTAAAACTACACAAGTATTCTATCCTATTTAGCCATTTAAAATCCATGTTATGAGTTGATATAATTTTCAACACTCATTTTCTTTTGAATTCTGCAAGATTCTGACTTCAGTAGATTTTAGCCTCTGCTGGTCAGGGTTCTTGCCGCTGCCACTACTGCTGCAGACACTGACATCACTATACTGCATGAATGAAAAACAACAACGTGCTCCATTTCTTCCTCTCTCTCGACCCCCTTCCTTTTCTGTACATTTCACAGTGTGTGTGTTTGATAGTAGTATTGCACTGTGCTTTGAAGCTACATTTAAAAATATTAAGTAAATGGTGGCTTAGGGGATATGTATTTCCTATAGAGTCATATTGTTTATAGAAACCTTCCAAGTGCTGTGGGCATTTGGGTTAGAAACGACAACTGAGCTTTCATTATTTTGTGCATTTTATCTGGAGTGATGGTTATGGAAGAAAAATAGAGGCTTTACAGAGTTTTCTCTAATTCTTTTACCAAAGAGAAATTATGAAACAACATAATCTCTAAACACATTATGTCATTATTTTTCTCTTAAACATTTGTAGTATACCTATTTATAGGGTTAAGGCTAGACTGGTAGAGAATTGATATTCAGATTATTTCACAAAGCTGAGGAAAAGCTGACATCTATAAATAGGAGCAACGATAATATCATGTTAATTATAAAACCCAGCAAAAAGATTAATTTTCTTTAGTTACATGGCATAGTCCTAGATAGCTTAAATGGGTATCATAACAGAAGATGCATAAATTGGCAAAGATCTTGCTCTATCTAGAAGACATGGAGTTTTACAAATTGAAACTGTTTTGTTTATGCTCATGGATCATCCTCAATTTGTTTGTATTTTTTCTTTCTTTTGTATTATTAAAACTACAAGGTTTGTTATTTATGTTCATTTCTGTACTTCTGCCATTAACAAAATGTCACCCTCCCCCTTGTTTGGTTCTGAAGGGTCTTGAAGTGGTGAATGACAAGCTGCTGAATGCGTCTTCAGACTCCCTGTGATGTGTTTGTAATAGATGTAAAATCATAAAGTATTATGCAAATAGTTATTTTTTGTAATGGTAATACATAAAGTCTACCTTTGAGATAAATAGAACAGCTCAAATGAGACTACAGCAGAATGTTAATGTTAAAATTAATGATCTTTAAAAGCATTAGTAACAACCAAAAGAAAATATAATAAAGTTGCCTCTTTCTGAAACCTCATTGAGCAAAACCCATGAATTTAAACACAGAAGAAATCCAATTTTACTGTGTGAGATAGTAAGTAGCAAGTATAGATCCTCTTGTGGTTTTTTAGTAAAGACTGAGTATTGGGATGAATTATAAATTCTGAAGTATGTAAAAACAGTTGCATCAGAGAACCTCAGATTGGAGAATATTGCATATTTCAGATGCATTGAATCTAGTAACAAAAATATGAAAAAACTTGAAACTTACATAGCTCCTCCTGTGAAAAATAGCGTGTGTTGGTTTCTGATTTAACATATCAGATTTATTTTGACCTAATACTCTATAGAGTGAAATTTGATTAGAATTTTTCATAATACCTTGAAAACCTCATTGTTTATACATACAGAAATTATGATTTTATTTTAAAAGATAATGTAAAGCCAAGCCAGTATATAATGGTGACTGTGTGCCATGTATGTATGTCTTTGTGTTTTAATTAGTCCACTTTCAGTTTTTTATTCTTTTCATTAAATCCCTCTTTTTCAGTCATTTTTATGCTGGGCTCAGTTGTGTAATGCAAACATTTTTTAGTGATTTTTTCCTCTCTTTAGAGATAGTCATATTCTCTTCTTGTAAAGTTTATTCTTAGACTGATATTCTTGGATATTAAAGTCTCTCCTCCCCCTGTTAAGATGAGGTTTTAAAATAGTATTTAAAGGAAAATTTTTCAAAGCTTTGCTGTATTAGAGTGGAAATATGTGTAAATTTTAGCTTTTTCTAAAATAACAGATTTCAAATACTGATTTTTGGGAAAGGTTTTCAGCCTCTGAGAACTATGCTAAATAGCAACAATAGTCATTATTTATGGATCTAATTCTTCCCATTACTTAATTCATGGTGCATAAAATTTCCAGATCAATAAGTGAATAGCCAAATAGACAAGTGAATTTATCAATATACTATGTTATGTTTAAATATTATATTCCTCTATTACTCTAAGCATATTGAATACTGAATGTCTGTGGTGTATAAAAGCACCTTAATTTTTAACTAGATATAGGATTGTGTGTGTGTGTGTGTGTGTGTGTGTAACTGAAAATCATTTCATTAATTTTAGTACTTTTTACACAACATACTTCACTTACTGTAGTGTACATTTCTGCAAAGACCTATTGCAAATTAGCATTTGTATACTGGGATAATGTTGAAGTATAATGATATCTTTGCAATTTTGATCTTATTTGTGATAATGTATACTTCATGTGAATAAGAAAACAAGGGAGTAATTGGTCCCTTTGCCATGAATAAAATGGAAATAAATGACAGTGTTCAACAGATAGGCAAGAGTTTTCCTTAAGTTTGAAATTTAAATCCTAAATGCCTATTTTACCAAACTGTTAGCATGGAGTTAATAATCTGCCTAAGAGTATATGCTAAAAACTTTATTTTTCTTAATTTTAGTTTGATCTTTTCTCCAGAACTTAGAATTCCCAGATACCACCCAAATAGGCTTTTCTACAGTACCTGTCCTGAGTCTTGTTAGTCTTTTGTTTTCAGTATATAATTTTGTGCTCTTACTAATAAATGTCTAAGAACAAATCATTGACACTCTTTTCTGTCCTGTACACTATTTAATTATTTTGACAAGAGGCTGACCTTATTTGTGTATTCTGATATCTAACTGGTTTGCCAAAAGCAAGCAGAAGAAAGAGAACACTACTCATCTCTAGGTATAGAAAGTCTGGGGAACTGATGAAGTACCAGAAGCCACCTGTCTTTCC